ATTTGGGAATTTGATTGTATGCGGCATTCTTTAATGGTGGATATGAACTTTCACGTAACTTTTATGTGTTGAAATAGAATAGAGTCACTGTTTCACAGTCTGTGCGTAAGCGTAAAAGTTGAACGTCTTTCAACTTTTATGTTTATACGCTGCCTGTCATTATAGAGATTTAGAGTCACGTTTAGAGAAAACGGCAAACGTGAATTTGTACCACGTGACCAATTTTTCCCTTAACTTGCGCTTTACTGTTCATTTTCTCTACCTCAAAATTAGTAGCTTCACTTTAGTTTTGTCTATAACAATTGTTTTGAACTGTTTTTAGCTGAACGTTTTCTATTTTGAGCAATTCTCAACTTGAATTTGACATTTGCCGTAAACGGCACTCTAAATCTCTCTTTTGCTTCTATTTTATTTACGCCCGTAAAATCGACGTGCGTACGCACGCAAAAATTACGCGACAGTGGAAATCCACCATGACACAAACCAAACCCAACTGTAAACTGATTGCGATCTGAAGTAAGAAGGACTTTAGCATGACCTCATGCAGATTTATTTACCTTCCTGTATGAAACATACAAGATTCCAAAGACAAAAAAAACTACTCATTGGAAAGGTTTCCTATCTGTCTATTTGCAGCTTGTCTTCTCCATGTAAATTTAAGATGGCTACTTGGCTACTTACATTGGACATCGACCACACCCATTCGTGAAATCGCCGCTGGGCCAATGCCATTTGTCCCAACACAGTAATATTCCCCTGCTTGATCTCTTGAAATGTTGAATAACGACAAGCTGGTGCTATTTGAAATCGCCGAGTTATTTGCACGGGCGTTATACCACGTTATGTTAGGCGGCGGTTTCCCTGCTGTTACAACACAGTGCAAGTGGAGATTACTTCCCTCGACAACTGTGTGACTACAAGGATAGCTAAAGTTCAGGGATGGTGAATCTATAGAAATAATGATACTGTTATTATCAATAGTAAATATCTTTTTTATGATAGAATAATTAAAATCAAGTGTGAGGATAAGGCAAAGAATAATAGCCTCGTCGAATAACACCGTCCGAGATCTGGCAGGCATAATTTTTCAGATCATACGAAAGTCAAATCCAATAACTGTTTTATTCTTCTTTAAAATAATTCTTTCTTTAAAATATGCTTACCTAGATCGATGTTAAGTTCCCCCGTCCCTATTTGTCTGTAACTCGGCAAATTCAGGATATAAATCGATGTTTAGTTTTGATATGTTATTTCAAAAAGCACATGTTATCCGTTCAGTTGTTTTCTCGTTGTTCTTGCTATGTTTTTAGGCAGACAATCGGCTATTTCTTCTTCGCAAAACATGTAAACTTTTCAGCCATTTTCTCCTGCTCAGCCTCTAACTGTACAACTGTGCTTACGCAACCCAGGGCTTCTCGGTTGCCGTCCGTTTTTGGAGCAATATCCAGTACTATTGACGTAATTTTACCGGATATCGCAATCGTCTTTCAAATTTTGCCAAAGCCAGCTTGACGTGAAGAATTAGCCGGGGGAATTTGGGCCAAACAGAAATTGAGAAATATTACTTTCCTTCTAATAGAGGTATAATTAGCCTAAGCGTATCGCTATAACTTACAAAGCACATTAATAGATGAAGTTCTTGATATGATCTTCCCAATGCCATTCTCCACTACACAACAGTATTTTCCATCATCATATCTTGAGACATTTATAAAGGTCAAGTTGACTCCATATGATAATGCAGTGTTACTTCTGGGAACTCTGTACCACGTGATGTTAGGCTGAGGATTAGCATCTGTCACTTTACATTGAAGGGTTAAGTTTTCTCCTTCAAATACGGTGTTATCATAAGGATGGTTAGCATTCAATAAGGGTGGATCTGCGGAATCAATCAACAAGATGTAGTTCAAATCAAACTACGGAAAAAGTATCGTTTTGTTGCACACGAAAATTGAGTACAGCCGAACCCAAACCTCTCATAAGGGGCAGGTTCCATAATATTGACGACACCAATCTATCGCTGGCTTCTCTAAGATGCCAAACTCCTTACTACTCTTACGGTGATAGGGACAGCTCTATAATGCAGACACTTGGCTCTGTCTCTTTCGTGTCTGTGCCAACTATATTTAATGCTAACCAGTCCATGATGGCAGCTATCTTGGAACAGTTTTAGATGACGTCACAGTCACCCAAAAGTGGTTTACACCCAAACTATCTATAAGCGGTTTGACGTTTTAAAAGTAACGTTGCAGGATAAATCTCAGAAAGAGCCAGTGGATGAGACAGGATGAAGGAATATCTGTAAGTAAGCGTTGGACAAAAATAGTAGTAGCTTAGTTGCAAAAAATACTATGCTTCAAAATCGTTTTCTAACCAAGGCTTAAAGTACCTAAAGCAAAGACGTAGGTAGCAGTTTTCAAAGATTTGCATGGGAGCGAAAGATGCGCATTTGATCGAAGTGAAACCTTGATTCCACCCGAACATTGTCATCCTCGGAAAAGAAGACGGTCTAACAGTTTCTCAAGAAACTGAAGCTTCAAAAACAAGCTTTCATAGATCTACAAAATGTTCGACGCTAAACGCTATGTCTATGTCTACGTATATGAAAAAAACTACTCACACTGCACCTCGACTGTACTGGCACTTGACGTCAACGCTCCGTAAATTCGATTGTCCACGACACAATAATATTTCCCTGCATGATTTCTTGAGGTGTTAATAAAAGTCAAGTTGACTCCATGCGATAGAGCTGTGTTATTTGACGTAAAACTGTACCACGTGATGTTTGGCTCAGGATTGGCAGCTGTCACTTTACATAGAAGGGTGAGGTTTCTACCTTCGGCGATTGTATGATTTCGAGGATATGAGGAATCAAGCAAAGGAGGATCTAATAGCGGAGAACAATGGAACAAAGAAACATTTTACCTATATCTGCTCTATAGCTGTGTCATACCGTAAAATTCCGAAAATAATCGCCTCCATGTATAAGCCCCTTCAAATATAAGCCCCCCAAACCGGTAACGCAAAAACCCTCCGTTAAATCGCCCCTCCAAATATAAGCCCCCCGGGGGCTTGTACTTGGAAAATTGCCCTCAAATACAAAGTGAAACAAAGCAAAAACGGTAAATTTACTTCCAACTATATGGTTAGCCCAATCGATTGTGAAACGCAAATTTTCCTCCGTAGATAAGCCCCTCCGAATATAAGCCCCTCCAAAAATAAGCCCCTCAAAAAGGGCCTTTGAAAAATATAAGCCACAGGATTTATTTTCGGAATTTTACGGTGTGTCACCTCTATAACTGTGTCATATTCTAACCAAAGAAAGAACCAGGCCCATAGGTTGAAAAGGTGGCAAGCGCTATCCACTGGATAAATTACCATCTAGTGAATGACGCAGTTGGTTTTCGCAATACTTATCCACTGACTAACAATTTATTCGGTGGATAGCGATATCCAATGTTTGAACAGACGAGAGTGGAACTTTTAAGTTAAACTACTTACAATGTACTTCGATTGAGCTGATCCTTGAAATGACTGCTTTGCCGATACCATTATCAGCAGCGCAACAGTACTTTCCAGCATCATGTCTTGAGATTTTAGAAAAGGTGAAGTTGGCTCCATAAGATAGTACTGTGTTGTTTGCGGAAACACTGTGCCACGTGATGTTTGGCCTCGGATTAGAAGCCTTCACTTTACATAGCAGAGTAAGTTTATTGCCTTCTACGACCGTGTTGTCACGAGGGTACGTGGTTTGCAATGATGGGGAATCTGAAAGAAGACAAAGATTATTGGTGAGTTCCTGTCTTTATGATATGAACGCGAAAACAGAGTACACAGACTGGAATATATCTGAAATTGTCTGCGTAGCAGGCGCTTGGAAGCTCTTTTGCAAGAAAGAACGGGGTGTGTTTCTCCCTCGTGCGCTCCATTCTTTTATGCGACCATTACTTCCCGGGGCCTATATGCTCGGATTCCAGTCCGACGTTCCCATAATTGGAAGAGATGAAGGCTTAACTTATCAGAAATGCAAAGACAATTCAATGTCATTCAAAAAGAGCCGAACAGCCAAGGTTCCACGTCTACTTTCATAGATCGATAGAGTTTTCCAGTGCTATAGAATAAAAGAAATCTGCATCTTACCTATTCTAACCAACACTATCACTCCCGACTTGAAAAAATAAGTTATTCTAAGCCGTATACTTACACTGCACATTAACTGTACTGACTCGTGACGTCACAGCCTTGTCTATACCATTGTCCACAAGACAATAGTATTTCCCTGTATGATTTCTTGAGATGTTCACAAATGTAAAGTTGACCCCATACGATAGTGCTGTGTTATTTATAGCAACACTGTACCACGTGATGTTTGGCTGAGGATTGGCAGCTGTCACTTTACACTGAAGAGTAATAGTACTGCCTTCGGTGATTGTGTGGTCACGTGGATATGTGACATCGAGTAAGGGTGGATCTGAAAGTGAAGTATAAGGAGTGTCAACATATACCTCCCATCTTCAAAGAGAGAGTCTTATAGCAAGGAGCCCAAAGTGAGACCACCAGAAAAAAAAAGCTCTGCCTTATTGAAGACGGCAAAAGATGAATCCAAACATTCGGAAAATTGACATCCTTTGCAACGTAACGAAAAAGAAATGTGCTCGCCATTTTGAAAATCACCGATGTATGACGTGACGTCACACTGGCAGTGATCAGTGAACCAATGTTTACCCTAGAGACGGCCCCTCCCTCCTGGAGACCACGTTTAATTAACTCACCCTTTTCATGCAGACATCAACCAATCAGAAGTCGGGGACAGTTTCCAGCTGGCTTCTGATTGGATGAAATCTTTACTAAAGAATGTGAACAAATCTAAATCGGTCGCACGTTTGGGTTCCTTGCTGTAAGCGCACATTTTCTCCTAAAAGTTGTTATGAATACAGTAATATTTTTTCAACAACTACTCAATTCTCTTATGGGTATGTGGTTTTCAGGAGAATTGAACTTCACATCACCAGTTTTCACAATTCTCTCAGCAAAGTCCTTAAATATTTTGTGAACATAAGTGTAAAAGGAAGCTCCCTTTATTAAGAAGTTAATTTCAGGTTCAGGCTTTTCAGTCCAAAAATGAATAACGTTATCCTTCGGAAATATAGTTTATTTCATGGATACGAAAACGATATCAAGAACATTCATGAAAAAGAAAGCGCTAACTGCTGGAAAATGCTTTTGTCCAACATTGAACATCTGGGGTCTCGTTTCAACAACTACCACGTGCGACCTAGGGACCACAATGTCTCTATTCGGTTCTCACAGATTCAGCAAATTTAAACTGATATCATCTAATTAATGCAATTGCAAAACGGTCTAAAGTGATCAAGAACCTGAGGGACGACACCCAATACCTTGGTAACATTATTTCAATCAACTTACATTGCACATCAACGGTACTAATCCTTGATACTGCAGCTTGCCCGATTCCATTTTCGACAACACACTGGTATCTCCCTGCATGAGATCTGGTCATAAGTCCAAACGTCAAGTTGCCCTTGTATGATATCAGTGTTTTATTGGTAGAAACATTGTACCACGTGATGTTTGGTGTGGGATTGGCAGCTGTCACTTTGCATTGAAGGGTGAGATTATTGCCCTCGGTGACCGTGTGATTATAGGGAAAGCTGGAGTCTAGTGATGGTGGGTCTGCAGAGAAAAATTAAACAAAACAAAATAAAAACAACAACAACAAACATTTGTAAGTACTTAATGTTTTCTGTGCCCTCGTACTGGTGAAGTCGGCCGCGTGTACTTTTCTTTAAAATCTTTGCGTAACGCAAGACACGTATGTTTTAGCAACATCCACGTACTGAATTGAATCTGCAAGACTATTGAACGTTTTATAACCTGAAATTATTCCTTGAAAATAACTGAGAAATTCAGATGAAGAATAATTGCATTCCGCCCTTCATGTCAGAACATCTATTGCAAAAAACAAAATTCAGTTTTCCTGCCAAAAAGAACTTATACTGAAAGGTCTGGTAAACGGTCACTTCCAGCGGGCTGTTTGCAGATCTTAGTGTTATGGGTAGTCGCTTACGGGAGGTAATATAGATCAAGTTAATGTTTTCCCTTTGAACTTAATTAAGGCAACTGGAGCGAAGAATACATTAATTTATTTGTTATATTTACATTTATAAAAGCCCCATGTGTTTGTTAGCCACATACTTACACAGAACATCGACATAAGCAGTCGGCGAAATAACAGACTCCACTCCATTGGTTACTACACAGTTGTATTCACCCGCGTCAAATCTGGTAGCGTTGACTGTGATGTTTACAGACACGGCAAATGGAGTGCTACTACTATTGTTCCTTATCCAAGTTACATTAACAGCGTTCGTATTTCCCAGCGGCAAACAGTGAAGAGTGAACGAGTTTCCCTCTGTCACTGTTTTATTCAGAGGGAGTCTAGGGTCGAGGGATGGTAATTCTGAAGGTAAGAATAGGAATAACGGATTAGCAGTTAAATATGATTATATTTTCTCCGTGTTACAGATGATGCGATGACCAAACGATGCAATACAAAAGACAATAAGCAGCTTAAGGAAAGACATTTTTGAACGACGCATGTCAACTTGAAGTGGACTTTTTGCATGCTTGGGCAGTGGTTTTGCCCAAGTTTTCCGGCAAATCGTCTCTATAAGAGTAAAGACACTTAGCCATACAAAATTGGTTGCATTAATAAGGCATATTAAATGAAAGAGGCCTCACAACGGTTGATGTGCGTCGCTCAAAAACTTCTTTGCGTAAGCTCCCTAACGAGCAATTTCCACAACATAACCAACCTAATCAACCATATAGTACACGCAAGTGCAACACAACAGAGCCCCCTTTCGGCTGTTCTGAGGTTACACTTCAGATTTGCTCGGTGTGGTATCGAATTTCACTCTGGGAGACAGACAGACCCATTGTACAATCGACAGGACACCGTTTAAGTCTTATGACAACCTTGTTTTCACGGCCTCTCTTGCTGTGTAAGGACGAGTAGGAAAAGACCCTGGGAACGAGCGCAAACAACAGGCCATTTACGAGTTGCACCAAGCCTCTGTTTCAAAGCGAGGCTAAGCGTGATACCACTGATATGAAGATCATTTTTTATTCTCATGCAAATGAATCTCATTTTCAGGAGAAACATTTTACACGTAGCCTCGTTTTGAAAGTGAGAGTTTTTGGCACTCCGAAACGGCCTATTGATATATGAGCATTATTTTCCTGTAGTGAAGCGATAAAGCAAGAAGTATATATTGTCACCAGAGCCTTTGGATCTTATAGTTGCGCTTGTCCTTAGCAGTCCTGTCATGCGTAGTAGAGAAGAGCTCTAGGTTGGAGAATGTGAGCATTAAGGAATTACAAGATAAAGTGAATACCTCGTCCGTACACCTCCACCCTCAAACACGGCCACGTGCCATACGTCAAAGGATAAATACGTAGGAACCTGGTAACGAAACTTGAGCTATCGTTCAATGCGTTCCTGACCACAGTGTCACCATCAGCATTTCCAGCAAAAATCTACAGTCAATAAGAATGGCTTAGTTATCTTATTCTGAAATTACTACCTTGGCGCTCTAAGGATCTGTGATTAATACTGTACCTTCCCAGCCTCGTCCACAAGCCAGTTTGCGCTATCCAAGTGAGCAGAGGAGACTTGGAACCCAGCGCAATAGAGAGAAGTGCGACGTCATGTTACCATAGTAGCAAAATTTCTGGGTCTCAGTAAACTTTCTTGAAAGAGACGGCCATTTGCATTGTCGACCCATGGAAGAGAAGTATGGACTATCGTTTTGTTCCTGAGTGCAAATCACGTACAGGAAAGTCTTACATGTCATTTTTTCCTGTCATTTTTGCAGGACCCCATTTTGTTAAGGTCCAGAAGTTTTTCTTCCATGGTAACTTGACGTAAGGGACGGACCATTAGAAAACTTATGGGGAGGGCGGGCGAAAATTAAATGAAAAAAATTCTTGCACGCCAATTAATCCTAAAAAAATATTCATGCTATAGCCTAAAAAAAATTCATACAAGGAATTTGATGACGAAAAAAAATTCCTGCGGCTCGAAAATTCCCCTCCCCCCCATAACTTTTCTAATGGTCCGTCCCTAACGACTTCTTATCTCTATAGACGAATTTTCCCGACAAGGTGACGTCACATCCGAAATCGCCGAGAACCAGGCTGGTACCTTCCCATACAAAAACAGGTCTTACTCTAACAGTGCAGAGATGTCTGAGGTAATTTACAAAGCAAGTTGTTGGAAATATGAAGATTTCTAATAGAGAAAACAAAACGTCTATTGCATAACAGAAAAACTAGACATTTCAAATTGCATACCCACCAAAATGTTGTTATTCTCCACCGTTACGTCAGCCCAGGAAGATCCGTTTAAAGAATACGCAACCCTGTAAGTAGACACGAACCAAGACAGCGTGTGATGGCCTTGCGTGTCTATTGCGCATACTCGGTATGGCGAGGAGAAATCGATTTGAATAAACTCAAAGACAGAAGCCGTCGAGGGGCACCACTCTTTATCACCACCAATCTTGGCCATGTATGGTTGGTTAAGATTTGAGTCAAGGACTGACGACGCTTGAAAGTTTCCGTCAGGTAGGGAAGCTGTCAGCGCAACATCGTAAGGTGAACAACCTAGTAAATAGAAAGTTGACACACCGTAAACTACTGCTAATAAGCCCAGGGCTTATAAGTCCTCGTGAGGGGTTTTATGAAGGCTTAGAAACAGAGGTGCTTATAACCGAGGGGGTTTATAACAGAAATAGAAAAAGCGCTTCGAAACCAGCTATGGCAGCGATCATCAAAATACGTTTGACATAAAGTGGTTTTCACTGAGCTTCAAAACGTCTTGACAAATCGAGGTCATTTCAGAATATTTGGAACAAAAGCTAGACGGGGGGGGGGGGGCTTATAATGGGCCGATTTTTTTTTTTTACGGGTGGGGGGGACTGTAACGGGGGGAATATATAGGTGGGGGGGGGGGGGGCTGTTTGGGGGGAGTTGCGGGTAGAGTGGCGTGCGGTAAAATATATGTGGGGGGAAAGCGTTATATTTTAAGAGTGGGTAGAAAAAAGAAAACAAATAAGGCAAGAGAAAATGAGTGTGGAGGTAAGTAAAAAAATTATTTAAAATGTAGGTTTTTGCACTATGTGGACAGACGTGTGTGAAAAGGGGGGTTCTTCGAAGGTTTGGGGAAAAAATGGTGGTGGGGGGGGGGGGGGGCTTATAATCGGCTGTATTTTTTTGTTTACAGGTAGATGGGCCTATAACTGAGGGAACTTATAGGTGGTGGGGTGGGGAGCCTTTAAGGGGCAGTTTACGGTATAACGACTCCTGAATCAATCAATGAGCGGGCACACGGTTTACATGATATTGGTATGAACTTTAGAATACCCCCGTTTATACCAATGCAAGGTCTTTCAAGTGATAAATTTCACCATAACTTACAAATAATAATTCGAACTACAATTCGCTAGGAAGCGCAATGAAGACATCGGACGAAATCCATAGGAACTACTTCACTCAAACAGTCGGAAAAAAATACCGATCGATAAGTTTTAAAAAAGATGTTTCATGGCATCATGATCAAATTGAAGTGGAACACTGTTCTTATCTACATTGAAGTCTCCTAGGGGGATCATAACTTGGAGGACATTTACTTCTTTGGTAGAATATTAAATTATAAGTCAGTCTTACCTTGATTCCCTTCAGATGAACAAAACACGTACAATGTCAGAAAAACAGCTAAAAACATAACGCTTCTACAAAAGGCCTCGGCTTTTGATAGTAATGGTTTGTCGATGTAAGCTCAGTTTTAGCTAACTAACACATTATACACCCAGATACCGGTCGTTCATGTGGCGGTGCTGTCTTTAACCCGAAATATTCCAAACTTCTTGTTCTGAACAAAACACTTATTTGTACTCCATGAATTAAATCAAGCAAAAAAACAATCCATAGAAGGCGTTAATGACGATATCTTCAGTTAGACGATAAAACAATGAATACCTTTGGATGACACGCCGCTTTTATACTCTAGCAACAAAGGAAAAGTAATAACAATTCAAAGATTCTTTTAACAGTAAATTAAATCGGGCGACTCGACGCAATTACATCATGGGAACTGAGCACATTCAGTTTCCAATATGTGATCCAATAAAGTTTGACATAATTAGTTTTCGGTTGTATGGTATATGTGTCAATGACGTTTTGCAAAAAGCGGCAGTTAGCTCAATTTAGCATCTTCAAAAATATTTTGAACTTTTTTTTAACTTAAACATTTGACTGCTCCAAGCAGTAAAAGGATAAATTCAAATACGGTAACCAAAACGTTAATAACAGAGTTGGACATTTTAAGATTTAATCAGCGGTTCTTTTCTTGTGTGAGAGGCATATCTTGTGATTTCCCTTGAAAGTTCGAGTTATGGGAAGCCGACTGTTACAAATAATACATGCTGTGTACATGTACAGTGGTGGTGGTGTAAGTCTCCCTTGCAGCCGTTTTTTGGATGTCACGCAACGCTGCGAGGGAGACTATGGTGTTCCTTGACAGCTTCCGACTCTGCGTTTATCATAATCAATTTCTTGTCGCCGTATCGAGTACGCGCAGTAGACACGCAAGGTCGGCACACACTGTCTTGGTTCGTGTCTACTTACAGGGTTACCGACCCTTTATACAAATCTTCCTAGGCGAAGTACAGTTTGCAACACTCTGCGAAGACACCACTGTACAATCGCTTTCTTCACCACTCCTTGACCTAAAATTCCCAAATGATAGCTCTTTCATTGCACATATTTTGGATTCAAGTTTTTTAGGCGCAAGAAGGAACAGCCATTCTATTTAATCTACTGATATTGTTTTAAAATATTTTAAGTATAAACACCTTTTTTTCATTCAACCGCGTAAGTAGGTTTAATTTCTTGCCCCAGCATTAAAACAAAACTCCCTTAAAATTTCCTTCCATTACACTTTTCTTTTTGTTTTGATCAATTTATCCGGTACAAAGTGCAAATACAAGGTCGGTTTCCTCATTTCTCTTTAAAGAAGCTAATCTATCGAACAACACGTTGAACACAGGGACACCCAGCGAATAACAAATTTTGGCAAAAATGCACTGAAGTCATTGACTAAGATATTTTTTTATTAAGCCCACACGTTTTAAGTTTGCTCAGCTTCTATTTCGACCAATGATCATTCTGGAATAAATTAAACTAGTCCACCTGTGTTTGAATGTGACTTAGACCAATATCTCTTGATTACATTATTAGCCGCTTAGTGTAGGTATTATTTTGTTTTTATGCGTTAATAATCGTAATCAGCTGTAATAAATATGCACAGAGGCTAATGAGCTCTGGCGGCGTAATAACTTAAGAGACTACAGTTGCTGAACGGAGAATCTCGAAGAGTTATGAAGCGACCCTATGT